CACAAAGAAATGGCAGAAACACGGCACTTGCCTCTGCGGACCACTCTGGCATAGGCCAACCGCAGCCCTCTTTGAAGTCTTCCCTCCTCTGTCCTGTTGCTGATAGAAACTTCTGTCAGGATTGGTGCAGCCTAGACACAGCAGCACTTTGATCTTGTCATCTTTCATGAAGGTTGGCAGCTGAGACCAAACAAACTCACCACACAAAGGGATACCTGCTCCACCCGACCCTGCTACACACTGTTCATAGAGACATCCCCGGACAGCAGAGATGGGACACTGAGAACTTAGAACTATTTTGTGCATAACTGCTCTAGGACTTTGGGAAAAATAACTTCACTTTCCTTCATCTTGAATTTTCTCAGCTGAAAAATGAGAGAATTGTAGCAGATTTCTCTCAAATGTTCAAAGCCATTCTCATGGTCTATAACTGGAATGGAATTTCAAACACAGCCAGTTGTGGTGGTGCATACCTAAAATCTCAACACTGAAAAATAGAGACAGAGGATCAAAAGTTCAGGGTCATTCTCAGTTGCATGTTGAGTTGGGCGCCTGAGACCCTATCTCAAAAAGTAAAAAGAAAAAAAAAACCCCACAAACACAGAACTCATTCTGTGATTCAGCAATTTTACATATACAAGAAAACAGCATATGCACAGAACCAAATAATGCACAGAATAGATGCAGGTCATTCATAGAAGCATCATAGAGATTAGCAAAAATATTGGAACTAATCATCAGGAAATGGGTACATCAGCAGAGAACAATGGTACTCCTGGCAGGCAGCACCATAACCAGTGAGGTGGAACGGCTTAGAATTGTATCTACACCGTGGCTAATTCACTCAGCATTCAACACTGAACAGCAAGTGGCCAAAGAATACATATACTTTATTTGCATTATTATATGATGCTTTAAAATGTATAATATTCTGTATCACTTGTAAAGAAGAATTCTAGGGAAACCTGTGAAGATGCTTAGGAGACAGCCATCACACAGGCAGAAAGTTCATTGCCGGTTGTATGGTATGTAGGGTCCACCAATGACTGGGCTTCAGTGTTCTATTTTGTTCCATCATGGTGGGTTTGTGAGTACTGAGAACCAAGCCAAGGGTCTCCAACCCAGGGCCTTCTGCTCTACCATGCAGTCCAGCACAGCCCTTGGCTTCTCAAGTTTAACTTGCTAAGATCATCATCTGCAGGCATATTTCTTTTCTCTTTGTAGATCATAGCCAAAGCTTGGGAAAACAGAGGAAATAGTCTATCAAGAAATAGTCCCACTCTGGCTATGGAGGAAACACTGAACTAATATGCTCCATTTTTAAGTCTTATAAAAAGATTCCTCTTGCCCCTCTTCTATCTGCCATCCTCTGGGATGATAAACATTCCTTTTCTTCCCAATGTGATGGAATCTAGCTTTGTTACTGTCATGTTAAACCCACGACTGAGTCTGATTTTAGTGATTTTTAAGAATCTCACACTGGAAACTCTAGTTATTTTTATCATTGGAGAATTTGCTCATACAATGCTACTCAGATGCACATCAGAGATTTGGGGCTGTTAACATTTGCTTCCTTAAGCGTGGGGGGTGCAGGTGGCAGGACATACATAAAGTTCAGAGGACAACTTGCAAGAAGGAACCAACAAATGTCATCTGCATCGAGGGTGGGACTGTGGTGAGACAAATGACATAATGGCACAAACAAGGGGCCAGAGATTATCTTTACGTAAAATCTGCTGTTTTATTCATCATGGTTTTTGCATTTATTTTGATTATTATAATACTGACTGAAACAGTATTTATTTTGATTACTGAGCTTTGTTGAAAAGATTTACTTTGTTGTTTTGTGTGTGTGTGTGTGTGTGTGTGTGTGTGTACATACTCTCACATGGGCACACACACATGCATATAAGTTCAAATGCCCACAGATTCCAGAAAAGGGTATTGGATGCTCTGGAGCTGGAGTTCTAGGTGGTTGTGAGCCATCCAACACAGATCCTCTGCAAGAGCTCTTCCCAACTCTCAACCTCTGGGCCGTCTGTCCATTTTCCCCATTCCTGAGATTTTCTGACACCCATTTAAATATTGTGGAATGCCTCACTCTAGTCTCAAGATCATTGGGACCACAGTACCACATTTAAAGAGGAATTACCTGGTTTTTTATTGGTTGGCCCAGCTAACTTCAAATCGCTTAAAAAAGGAGCACTTTGTTGTATGTCCGTAAGGCTGAATAAATCCTTAGGTTAAAAGTGAGTAAATAATTCATAAATATCTGATGGACTCAACTTTCTGCTCCAGAAAAATTAAGAAGACTAATTTCTATTCTGTGAGAGGAACTCACTGGATAAACTCTTCGGTCTCCTGTAGAGCTGAGTGGAAAGGGCCCGGCTTTATGGGGAGGATTTGAGGTTTGCTAAATGCTGGCCCTGGAGGAGTCTCATTATGTGATTGTTATGGTTAAAATACAAATGACACAAACTGCAACAAGCAATAAGTCCTCCCCATAAAGCTGGACCCTGAGTCAGAGCAATGCGAAAGCACAGCTAGCAAGTCAGTCACCATGAAGTCCAGGTCAATGTGAGCTCAAGCCTGCGCCCTTTCCACTCAGCCACCTCCCTCTCTGTTTTGGAAAGACGTGGGTCAAATGAAAAGATGATAAGCTATGCAAAGTAACTGACTACAGGTACCTGGCCAGCAGAAGAGGAAGGGAATAGCTTCATTCTTCTCTCTTCAGTACCATCCCTAACTATGGCTGTGGGTGTGTCTTAAAGATTACCCCAGTCTGTAGGATGGCCTTGTTCTGTATCCATTTGAAGAGAGAGATGTAGAACCTCAGTTGTGTGGAATAAGGAAATAATCTATACCTTGTCTTCCTGGCTCGCTCCCTTTCAGGTAAACTGACCAGTCACTCTCACCAGTTGACAAGGAACCCACACTTGGTCAACTGCTCTGAGAATCCCAGGCAAGACATAGGAAAGCTGGTTCTCAATATCAGTCTTTGTCACTTACATAAAAATAACTTTTATTCGCCTGATGTAATTATGGGCTAGGAGGCTTACTGTCCCCATCAGCTAACCTAGGCCTCGTACTGGAAGCTTCTAGCCTCTGTACAATCTAATCTAGACCTAGAATGTTTTCAGCCTCTAAGACTTACTGCTGAATAAGCTCACCCTCTCTTGTTTTTTTCTGAACTCAAATTGGCTGGTTCAGTTCAGCTGTTCTGACTCAAATTCCTCTCCTAGCTGACTGATTCAAACTGGCTTCTCTCAGCTTCTGATTGAATTGCTCTGCTTGGCCTTAAACTAACTCTAGCAATCTGTTCTGGCTTCTTCTCATTCTCTGGCTCATTCTCTCTTCAACCTCTCTCTGTAAAACTCTCCTGATAAAACTGTCTCCTCTCTCTCCCTCTTCACTGCTGTCGCTTAAGTCAACTTCTCTCTTCTCGTGAGAGTTGGACATATTCTATTTTGTCAGTTCTTCCTCTGATTTGTCACTTTGTCTGCCTCTCAGTTAGACATCATTTTCAAACATGGCTGTTTCTTTCTACAAACTAACCTTACCTTCACTGTTTGGGATTAAAGGTGTGTACTAAGGGCCTATCTGTATTCCAGCCAGAGGGATTAAAGATGTATCATTCCAGGCAGATCACACAGACCTAAAAGGTCTTTGAATGTGATCCCTTGCCAGAGTAGCCATGTTGCTGGATTAAAATTTCTCTATACAAACCTCCATAGGTCATCACTAAGTTTCCAAGATTGTGTTCTGATTGTTGCCATCATGATTGGTGCATTCTGACGCTATTTCCAAGAGTACATTTCTTAAAAACATTAGCACTATATGGAATTTTACAGTTAAATAAGTTCAAGCAAGCTTTTCCACTTTATTATTACTCTGAATCTTCAAATGGCTGATGTAAGTGTTGTATGCGAGAGAGCAGCCAGCATTGCTTGAACCAGGGAATTTGTTGATGAGAAATTCCTAAGAGAGGTGTGTTGTGCAATACACTTTGGGAAGAGATTTGTCAGGATCTTTAAAGTACTCTCATTGCTAAATGCCAAGAGAGTGAAAACTTGGGAGATGACTCTTAAAATGCTCATGATATCCATACTCTTTGTTTTCTCTTTTTTGTGACAAAAATAAGTTGTATAATATTTCAAAACTAGAAATGAATTACATTTTTAAGATGTATTTCCTCTGTCTATTCCATCCATTTGGAGATGTATAGGCAAAGGCATGGTTTGTGTGTGCACTCGTGAGCATGGTGTGAGTATGGGGAGGGGATATCTGTGTGTGTCTGTGTGGTGGGGAGGTGTGTATCACTTAAAATATTTAGGCATTATGCCATTTGCTTACACATGGCATCCATCTCAGTTAATCCCCCCAGTGAGTTCATGAGTTAGCAAATGAAATACCCAAATTGTGTCTTGGGAAATGGAGGCTCAGAGGCTTTAGTAACTCCCTACAGGGGCACAGAATGTGGATGAATGAACTACAGTTTAGACACAGCCACTTTCCAACCCGCTGATAGCCCATGAATTAAAGCACCAAGACAGTAAAATTGTTATTTTTCTGAGCTGGGAAACAAATCTTTATCTTGAATTTGCTACCAGTGAGTTTATCTTGTCTTGAATATCCCATGTTGAGTGATGAAAAAACATTCTGAAGTCGTGCCTGCTTTCTGTCTGTCCTTGCTTCCCTCCTCTGACTTTCAATGTCATAGAGGCTTTACAACACACAGTCCTGACCACGTTGTTTTCCGTTTCATGGCTCTATAATGTCCTTTGTTGTAAATAAATTTAAAAATTATTTCAGCTTTCTCTTGACATCTCAACATTTTTAAGTGATTTATTTTGATACTACTTTAGCCTCGTGATTTCAAATATTAAGTTACTGGGTTCAGGTGGTCTTACATTTTCCACATAAATGTGTTTATGTCACTCCATAGACTAGAAATTTCATTCCAGGTTTCCCCCTCCTTTCTTTATTTGATTTTCCTGCAGGAGGAGAACTGAGTTCTTTGAGCTTGTCAGTAAAGGAGACTATGACTGGAGCATCAAAAGCCACCGTGATGTGTTTCGGTGAGAAAAAGCCTGCATTTGTGTGGGTTTTCCATTATTGGACATTTAGCCACACCTTTTCTGTGTACATTTGAAAAGTTTTAAATTATCAATTGAATATAACCTAAGCAATTATCCAAAGCATGACCTGAGTCAGCAACCTCACAGAGATTATTTTCTATGCAAGAAACACCACGGTGTGGTACCTATAGCCAGGCTCCCTCTCATACACAAAACCTAAATGAGAATCCTTGGAGTGTGTTGAGAAGTCTGGTAGGTTTGTAATAAACACGGAACCCTTTATTTACCTTGAGACCATTACCTAATCTCTCTGTGCTCTTGTCTGTAAATGAGAATGACAGCATCCACGGCTGTGGCCGCAGTGAGGGTTCTGTCAGCCAGCAGTTAGTCCTTCAGGTAGGAAAGCTCTTAGTCCAGAAGCAGGGGGAAAGTGAGCACCTCGAGCTCCTCCCTACAGAGAACCAGAACACAATAGACCGAGTTGCCTCCCTTTTCACAGAGCTCAGCATAGGGGTGTTTGGAACTGTGTCTTAAATGATGCTCTAGTCCGAGGTGGCCGATGCTGGTGCTGCCTGGCTCGCTGTGAATGACCCGTTGTTAGCTGGGACTCTGCCCACTTCAATCCTGCTCTGCCATCTGGGCAGCAGACATGTTTCCAAAACTCTAAGCCAGCAGGGTTTAAAATGCTCGCTGACAGCAGGACAGCCCTCTGACCTCTCACAATGCACCCTTTCTTCCGAAAGCAGTCAGCCAGGGCACCTCCAGGCTCCAGTCCTGTTCTAATCACTCTTCATGGTGTACTCCTGGTGTTCGTTGAAAAACAGCAGACTGGAGACAAAAGATAGACCCCACCACCACCACATCTGATAATACTCTAGCAATGACTTGAGCTATTTTCAGTGTTCCGTGGCTCAGCATAAATCCCAGTTAAATCTGCCCTTGAAAACCTGGTTCTCGTTGTACCTGTGTTTTATGCACGCACAGATTAAGGAAAGCTATAACTGGGCACCTTTTTCCGAATGTGTATGAAACATGGTACCCACCAGGGGGTAACCCAGGTGACACAGTGTGGCCCCCTCTGGTAAAGCTTGGCTGTGTGGAGCTGTGAAGGCAAAAGAGCTCCCTCCACAACAGGCACCTCACCTCTTCGGTGTGGGTTTCTGTCCTTTGTCATCGGCGCTAAGTCAGGAAGCAGATTCATCGGCCACACAGTGTTATATACTGATCCCTTTGCTTGTAGTTAAAAAGGGGAAACCCTCATTGCACTTTATTTTAACCAGAGCCTGCTAGACTCAGCTGTAGGGAGAGGAAGGTTCTGCTTTCCTGGATTTGCTGCAGACGAAACCAAAAGGGCAACCAGAGGCTGTGAGAGCCTTTGTCTTCAAGGCAGCAGTGGCTGCATGATGGAGAAGCAGGACAAGGGGGACTTTTAACAGCGTGGCCCCTTGTTGAGGAAAGATGTAGGCTGGCCCTGGCTCCTTCTCATTTATTTATGGAGCTGGGGTGAGTTTCTTTAGGAATGCTACAGAAGATTGTTCAGGCTGTTTGTTCGGTGCTGTTTTTCAGATCAATGTTAATGACAGCCTGTGACCTTGGAGCCGTGACTAAACCGTGGGAGATCTCCAGACAGGCAAGTGGTGATTAATGGCACAGCTCAGCAGAGGAGGGGCTGGAGGGGGCACTGGGCACGGCTTCTCGCGCTGAGAGCAGGGTCTCTGCATAGGTGCTGGCCTGGCACGGAGCCACAGGCTGCTAAGTCACAAGGCCGGCTTACCCCACAGCCTCTCTTTCTTGCACTCCCACTGAACAGTGCTGTTTCTGGCTTCGAGATTTTTCTAATGTGCTAAATCTGAATGACACTTAGACGATTCCTTAAGCCTAACAGTTCACAATACTGTTTTTGAGTGAATAACCGTGTTTTAGCACAAGACAATGTTTATCATTTATGAAAAAGAAAACAGGAAAAGAGATATTCTGTTTTTGTTTGCAGGTATTAGTTAAGTATCGAGGGCTCTATTGCCAATGTGTGCAGTGCCCCATTTAATTTTTATCAGGGCTAATAGTGTTTTTATAGTTTTTCAATGCAACTGAGCATTATTTTTAAGCAGCAGCAGTTTTGAATAAAACAGTTCCCTAGCTCAAGATCCTTGATTACTGAGAGGTTAATGGCTCTTTAGGTTTTCTTTCCCTCTTTAACTTAATCTCTTTTTCTTGAGGCAGGGTAACTTCATTGTCTCTAAGTTGCTCTCAAAGTAATACTCCTGCCTCAGCCTCCTGAGTGAGGAAATAGCTAGCAGCAATCTCACAAAGCTTTACGAGACACCTATTTTGTGGATTGTGGGTTTTAAAACAGAAACTTGGGATCTTAAAATAACAATTTGGGGAAATAAGATATATCCATATATCAATGAATGACTGGTTTGTGTATGTTGCTTTATTAATCTTTTTTTTTTTCGGTTGGCTTTCTTTGTTTTTGTTGGTTTGTTGGTTGGTTTGTGGGGGGAGGTTTCAAGTCGGGGTTTCTCTGTGTAGCCTTGGCTGTCCTGGACTCACTTGGCTGGCCTCAAACTCACATTGATCCACCTGCTCTGCCTCCCCAAGTGCTGGGAGTAAAGGCATGCACCACCACTCCCCACTTTAATCATGTTTTTTGATTTTTTTTTTAAACCTTTATGGTAGGTAGTTACTACAGTAGGCTGAATAATCACCACACAAAGATATCAAGTCATGATCCCAAAAGACTATGGCCTTTACTTGAGAGGAAAAGTAAGATTAGATTAAGTAAGGATTTGCTGAGGAAGAGCCTGGATGATCTGGGTGAGTCCCAACTCCAGTCACAAACATCTTTGTAAAAGAGCAGGGAGAGCTCAGAACTCAGAAGAGAAGGCAATGTGAGAGTCAGGCAGATACTGAAACGGCAGCGCCTACAAATTGAGGAGTGCTGGCAGCTTCCAAACTCTGGAAAGAGGCAAAGAACAGAGGGAGCCTTCAAAGGAGCCTTCCACTGATCCCTGGCTTCTGCCCGTTGTCCTGCTGCAGGGCTGCTGGCCCCAAGAACTATGCAAGAGTAACTTCCTGTTATCTTAGCCATAGTTTGGAGTTTTAGGAAATTAATTTGGTTATTACGTTCACTTCACAAACAGGAAGGATGGGGCTTAGAAAGGATAAGTAGCCCAAGTCTATGTCAATAGCAGCTGGTGAATTAAAAAAAAAAAATGTGTTCTTCTCCTTCTTGGTTTCCTGAGATCATGGGCATCGTGGCGGACACAGCAAGAGTTGACACAGACCAGGAAGTCTGTGAAGAGCCACCCACCTCAGAAGAAGCTGTCATTGATGACAGTCACCCTGGGAAGACAACAGTTCCTGAGGCAGGAGTGTGAATTAAAACAAACAAACAAACAAACAAACAAACAAAAACAAAAACCCACTAGCCAAAATGTCCAAGCCCATACTAGATATAGCCTTCATGTTTGGATTCAGAACTTGTTCTGGTGAAGAGACTGGGGGTGTGTGGCTCATGATTCCTTGGGTTGCTCAGAGAATAAAGGAAGACACAGGCTTATAGGACGCAAGAGGACCTGCAGGAAACAGTGAGAGGAGCACAAGAACAGAAATCTTATAAGCTGAAAAACTTAAAACAAAACAGACCCCAGCAGATAGGGGCCAAGCCCTCGTTCCTAAAGGGCCACGCTTTTCTCCACAGGCTCAAACCATCTGCATTTTTAAACAGCACGAATTAAACAGGTCTAACCTTTTGACTTTGTGATGTGGTGGTGTCATTTGCAAAGTTCCCACTCAAGAGCCAGGCAATGAAGTTACAACAAAAGTCTCATGTTTTAAGCGAGTTTACAACTTTCTGTTAGGCTGAGCTCACAGTGGCCGGCACCTCTGCTCTCATCCTGGGCTGGTCTGATGGACCATGGAGTATCTGATGGTAAAAATTAATACCTTCAATAATCCATTGGTCCAGACTTGTCACAGGACCCTGTTTCTCCAAGAAGTACAATCCATGCCTGTGCCCAGCAAGTAGAAAGTCAGAGTCTGTGAAGACAGATCTAGCACAGTTTACCCTTCAAATGCCATTCATTGTCCTTGCAGAAAAGCATACTCTCCCCAGGGAAGACATCAGTCAGGACATCAGGCACACAGTCTAGGATGTCCAAGTGGTAGGCGCCATCCGTATAACAGGTCTGGATGTACTTTTAAGGACTTACGGGTGCCCCAGACTGTCACCTCCACACACAGAATGCCACCGCAGCCTCCTGTTCAGCAAGGAAAGAGATAAAAAACATCTACAACCAATGCTCCGTGAAGAGTCCAAGTTGTCTAGGCAGGCACCGTGAAGCCCCCACCAGCAGTGGGCCTGGCTCCCGGCAGGGTGCTCCCCCCTCTTGGCTTTCCTTACAGAACATTTTTGGCTCCCCTAAGAAAATGGTTCTTTTCCACTTTGTCCCCTGGCATCCTCTGAAGGTTAAGCAGCTTTCTCAGCCTACTTCTCACATGAAGAAGGTTGCAAGCTGGTTTTATAGAGTCACAGACTTACAGTTTAAGCACTAAAGTACTCTTAAATATTTAACGAAAACAAAACAAAATAAAAACATGATTCTCCTCTATATAAACATCTTAGATTCTTTTTGCCTCCTGACATTCAGCAATAGACAAACATAGTAAATCTGTTTCTCTTTTGTGTCTGCACTTGAGGACCTGAGCCTCATGTCTTTTGGGAGACAACTATGTAGTTAAAATGTTCTCTGAGCTATTTTTTCCATTTAAAAAACTTTGCTGGGCCACCAAGATGGCTCACCAGGGAAAGGTGCTTAGAAGTCACCCAATTCTTCATAAGAATACTGGCCATGCCGTTAGTTAGATTTTTAATTCAAAGCTGAGTATTAATATTTTCATCTAACATATACCTTAGTTTTAATATTTCCAGTTTGGAATTAAGAAGCAGCTTCATCTTCATTCTGACAAGACTGGATTTTTCTGTTCCCTTTCATCCCTTATTATAAACCTGCTGCTGGTCCTTTCTGAGCTCACTTCTAGAATGCCTGGGGAAGGCCAACAGCAATAATTGCATGCTATTAGCATTTTGTTTTCCAGTCTCCTCCTAAAATTATGCATTCCTTAGGAAGAGTGTTTTCTCTCTTTCAGTGATAACTCAGCCTCCTATCTGTCTGATACCTGTTTGATACTTTTTTTTTTTTTTTGGTCTCTTTAACTATCAGCACTTTGCTTTAATATCAATTCTCTCCTATGTCAAGGTTAGCTGGGCTTTGCTACAATAACAAATTCATTCTAAATTTCAGTTCCTTGACACGAACAGAGGTTTGTCCCACTCAAACCACAGTCTGGTGTATGCAGGACAGTTCTCCTCCATTTGAGCTGTTGCCAGTTTCATTGCAACACATTAGAAGTCACCAGATATCACATAAAGAATCTGTGTAGCTGACTACCGCCTGACTACCGCCCGTCCTATGGTCAGGTAGACTTAGAGAACAGGCTGCACAGAGGCGGGTGGCTCTCCTGGGTATCTGGGAAAATGCAGTGCTAGGGTAGCACCTACAGTGGTGATGGAGAGGGAGTGGGCGAGAGGTGCCAGGCCTTCAGCGACCCCAGTGAAATGCCGCACATCGAGAATAAAGGTGGTTAAGGGGCTGAGACTGTGAGCACTCAGCCCTCAATGGGACAGCCATGTCACCAGCCCCGCCAGGCTCAGGAAAGAAGGGGAGGAAAAGCTGGAAGAGCTGGAGGGTGGGAAGGAGCACTCCAGGACCTTGCTGCGGCTACAGTCACACACACAAGGGCAAGCCAACAAAATCAGCCAACATTCCAGCAGGGCAGCGCTGACAGGACTCCGGGGGTTACAGAAGGAGAGAGGGAATGAGACATGCTAGGAGGCCCAAAGTGGGGTTAGAATGGAGAGGGGAGGTGGGGATGGAAATGAGCAAGATACATTGTTACATTATAAAACTGTGAGAGAATAAATAAAAGATGTGTGTGTGTGTGTGTGTGTGTGTGTGTGTGTGTGTGTGTGTGTATGTGTGTGTGTTTAATTAAACAATATGCACCTGGGCAAGGCAGTGGCAGGACAGAAGCAACCTGTGAATGATATTTTAGATCAACCCGGGACTTGTAGGCACTTATTCTTCTCAGTCATCAGTGTAAACATTTCATTTCTGGGGTGTGTAGTTCTGCTGAGAAACATAATAACTCAGGAGAATAAAACGCAAACCCATGTCCTGCAAATGTTTCCATCAGAAATGTAACCACACATCCAAGCTGGAAATCTCATCCATGCTTGTCTCCAAACTGAGTAGATGAAGATATTTTTAAAACTATATTCACTTCTTGATTTTAGGAAACATTTGAACCAAACAATCAAACTTCCTTTTAAAAACACCAATGTGAAGGTTGAGGAGATGCCTCAGCGCACAGAGCCCTTGCTGTGACTCCCAAAGTTCAAACCCTCAGGATCTGTGTAAAAGCTGGGCAGGACTGCTGGCCACCTGCCATCCCAGCACATGGAGACAGCAGGTCCTCGGAGCAAGATGGCTGACTAGACCAGCCAGAGCTGAGAAGCTGTGGGCGCAACAAGAGGCTCTGCCTCAACAGAGTAGAGAACATCCACAGAAAACACTGGATATCAGCTACTGGCCTCCGTATGTTCTTGTGCACACACACGCCCATATCCACACGTGCCAACACGTGTGTGCTGGCTAATCTTCTGTCAGCTCGACACACAAACTGGAGTTATCTGAGGAGAGGGAGCCTCGACTGAGAAATGCCTCTATAAGCTCCACCTGTAAGACATCTTCCTAATTAGTGATTGACGGGGAGGGCCCAGCCCACTGTGTGGCACCACCCTGGAGTGATGGTCCTGAGTTCTATGAGGAAGGAGGTTGAGCGAGCCATGATGGTCAAAGCAGCAGGCAGCACCCCTCCATGGCCTCTGCATCAGCTCTTGCCTCCAGGATCCTGCCCTGTTTGGGTTCACGTCCTAACTTCCTTTGATGATGAACAGTGCTGTGGACGTGTAAGCTGAATAAACCTTTTCCTCCCCAACTTGCTTTTTGGTCATGGTGTTTCATCGAAGACAACATGCAATCATAAATACACACATACACACACTTAAAATTAAAATGCAAATTTATGCATTTATGTGTATATTTATATGAACGTATACGTATACAGTGTTTTTAATTAATTTTTTTACGTGTATGGGTGTTTTCTCTACTTGTGTATCTGTGCATCATGTGAGTGCATGGTGCTTGACGAGGCCAGAAGAGGGCTTTGAATTCCCTTAAATGGGAGCTGCAGACAGTGGTCAGCCACCATGTGGGTGCTGGGGTTTTAATCACTGAGCCCTCTCTCCAGCCCTTGAAAACGAATTTTGAGATAGAATCTTATACAGTAGCTCAGGCTGGCCTTCAAATCGTGACAATCCTCCTGCCTCAGCTTCTCAAGTGCCCAGATGACGGGTGTGAGTCATCCTTCAGACACTAAGTAGATGCATTGCCAACTTCCTAGATGTTGATTTTATTTTAAAAAACCCTTTCAGAATGTGTCTTAACTGTGGTTATTCCTCTCATCTTCCCTCAGGAACATGACTTTAAGTATGGGGGTTTCCTCAGAGACACACACACATACACACCCAATGTCCTGATTAGCAGGACAGGAAACTGTTTAATGGAAACTCCAATTAGGAGCCACTTAATGGTCCTGATGGGGCCTTTAAGTACAAATAAAACAGGGGTTCTGGTTGAACTGTGAACAGAGCAGAGGGGATGGGCATAGGAGAGGAAGAGGGGTCCCCATTAGTGTCTTTACTTTCCAGGGAGAACACAGGATTCCTGCCTGGGGTGCCCCGTGCACACTTACATTAATGTGAAAGGAACAGCCGCAGAGGGACAGTTTCTTCTTTAAAAGCAAAGCGAAAGGGAAAAGGAGCCCAGAGTGTGGAAATAAGAAGTAGAGGCCAAGGCTGGAGATGTGAGCCAGGCCCCAGAACCTCCAACTTCAGGGGGCGCTGTGCAACTGAACTCTTGAACAGAACCCACACTTGTTATCAGAAGTGTTAGAAGTCTGACCTTACTGGGTATCTGAGTTTTTAATATTGCATATTGCTACTCTCACCTTTATTGAGTGTGTGTGTGTGTATGTGTGTGTAAGTTTGATGTTGTCTTTAAATATTGTAATCTACCTCTTTAGATACATATAAATAAACTACCTTTGTGTGTGTGAGTGTGTGAGTGTGTGTGTGTGTGTGTGTGTGTGTGTGTGTGTGTTTGTGTGTGTGCAGGGGGGCCTTATTCACATTAAGCACACTGTCACAGAGCTATATCCCCAGGCCTCTCTTCGCTGTTGGAGACATGTTCTCTCTAAATTCCATACTGAACTCACTCTACGACCAGGCATACCTTGCCCAAGAATCCTGAGTAGCTATGATTATGGACCTGTGACACCAGGCCTGACTTAGAAAAATTATCTTGATTCCGTGTACCTGACCAAATTAAACCATCTCACATTTGTAGGGTGTGAAATTCTCCTCTTCTGTAAGAGCATCAGGTGGAGAAAAACAGTTTGGTGATCCAGGCTTTCTTGCTGTCAACTGTCTAGAACTTTTTCTCCTAAGCCTTCCAATAGGCTACAGTCCCAGTTGGTTCACTCAGAGATTTGCTAGCTGCATATCTTAGTGTCGTTGGAAATATCTGCTCAGCATTTATCTGTTCTATCAATTTTCTTTCCACAAATGGTTATGAGAACCACAAACTGAGGGAATAGAAAATGGCCTGTTTAGTGTGACTGTGGATCTTTTATGTTCATGGGTGAAGGGGAAGAAAAGGCAGGTGCCTATGGCTGGGCATGGAGCAACCATTGCATTGTGGGTATAACAGAGCTGTGGTGGTTCCGTCAATTAGCCTGCAGTGCTTATATGCCAGGGCAAGCAGAGAATTGAGCAAATACCAACTGGGACCTGACATAACCTAGCGCTTTCAGTACCAGGCCCAGGCAGCCTAAAGACCACGCTCTTCAAATTAAGATAACCACCATGCACAGGAGCCAGAAATAACAACTTCGCTTCTGCATCTCATAGTGTCCTCTGCTACAAATAAATCAAACCACTTCTGTGTTTCAGGTGGCTGAACTTGTAACCAGCGAGTTCTTTGAACAAGGAGACCGGGAGAGGTCGGAACTCAAGCTCACTCCCTCTGTAAGCTTGTCCTTTTACTATCACCAATTACCTTTTTGAATGGCATTTTCAGAGGTAACTCCAAACCACACCTCGAAACGGGGAAGGCTCAGAAGGGGGTTGGCGGACCCCTGACAGCTTGAAATTAGCGGGGAATGCTAACCAGCGTGCTCCCAGGTTTCTGAAACTGCTCAACACTTGACAAGCATTTCCTGAGAACCCACAGTGGGGCAAACACGCAAACCCACGGGAGGGTCTACAGGATGGAGCTTGACCACCTCAGAGCCAGTGCTGGCACTTCATGCACGCCCACTTTGGAACAGAAATAACATCAGAAAATTGAAGTCAAGCTGTCCAGCCTAGAAGAGATAGCTGGGTTTTATTTTTCAGTTCCAAACTTTCAGACTCCCCGAAGTAAACCATCACAGACCATTTGTTTGCAAACTGAAATGTGGGGCTCGAGGTTCTGGTCATTGGCATGCTCTTTGTGTTGGATTCCCTCACATAGTTCTTATTTGAGACAACTGATGACAGCCTGGGAATGCTGCTGTCTCCTCCTTCAAGGTAAAGAAGCCTTGGTCACCACCTTCATGGAGGGGCCAGCCACTTTACTCCTAGTGAGCTAAGGCATCTTCCTTCCCTGGTCACTCCAAGAAGGGACAAGGTATTTTAAAGCCTAGCCAGGTAGCACACACAGTAGGTTTAATGAAGCGCACAGTGTGGATTGCTTCTCAGGAATGCCTCTTTTTCAGGATTCCAATCCACCTAGTCTTGAACATTCAGAGATATCAGTAAGATCTTTGAGTTTCCACACACCCCACTTTCTGATAGTCAAACCCCAGAGAAGGTAGCAGGGCCCTTTCCTACCTTGAACAGCTTCCCTCGACTGAATCGTCAGCCAGCAGCCTTTCTGAGGTTGACTATCCTGTCAGTTGCTTACCTATAAAAGGCCAGAGGACCACACAGGCTGAAACTCACAGCAGCGATCTTAATTCTCAAAGCACTACGCATTTATGCAGGGTTCTGCCCACCCTTTACTCTTTCTGACGCTCATACCAAACTTGGTTTTGAAAAGAAAATTATTAGCTTAGAACATGTGTAGTTTATTTGTAAAACCTATAAGCCACATTTCTCTAGGCTACATATCTATGTTAAAATAAAAGCTTTTTCCTCCCTCTAAAAGCCGATTCTGAGGTGCTTTCTGAAGGGCTTACAGTGCAGCAACACAGCTCATTTAGTTGTGGGGTGGGGGGGGTAAATTGCCTGTGTCAGGAGTGGGCAGTTGTTGTGGGTCCGGACTGAGGAGCCTTTATCTGTAGGCTCAGCTCAGGCCTTCTCTGAAGACATAAATGAAATTAATTTCATGGTGGATATAGCTAAAAATGCTACTGTCTCCTCACAAAAGGCTATTTAATGTAGCTGTCGCCTCAGGAGAAGTCTGGCTTCTGAGGCAAAACTTGCCCTAACTGGCTGATCTTCAGAAATGTCTATAGTTCACCCAGAACTGACCTTGCTTACCTCCCTATTCTTTGATTTTTTTTTTAATCACCCAAAGGATGCCTAGTTCAGAGATCATCGTGGTAACTTTCTGAGAATGAGCTGAAGCTGGCTGGACCACAGTCAGAGGGGCCATGTTAGAAGCAGTGGGCTGGTTGGTAAAATGGGCTTGAGTACCAGTGGGCCAAGCACGAAGCTTAACACTGTGTATCGGGAAATGCGGGAACACCATCTTCGCTGTGTTCAAGGACCCTAGGGCCTTATCAGCTCGTGGGGAATACTCACAAACAAACACATTAGCGAATCACTTATGAGCATGCCCATGAACAAACACACAGCCGATAAGCATACAAAGAAGATGGTTAGAATCTTTAACCATCATGAAAACACAAATGGAAACTGCAGTGAGGTACCCCTTCCTTCCCAGACAATACAAACACTGACATATTTTCAGAGCAGCAGGGACTTCGTGAGATGGGGGAAGGAATGTAAACTAGTGTAGCTACTTTGAAAACCAGCCTGCAATCCTCAAAAAGTTAGATATAGGGCCCCGCAAGATGGCGCAAGCCTGAACCTCAGGTGGATTCCCAGGCCCCACGGTGAAAGGAGAGAACCAGCTCTCAAGAGTTGTCTTCTACCTCCACACATGTGTCATGGCTTCATTGTCATCAATTTAGAAACTAAAGTTTAATGTAAAAAGTTCAACATGGAGTTACCATATAACCCAGGAATTCACAGGTTTATCCCCAAAGAAAACGGAACACACACCCATACAAAGATTTGCTCACAACTGTTCACACCAGCATTACTCATAGAAACCAAAAAGTGAAAATAGCTGCCCATCAAATGTCCATCAACTGATGAGTTAATAAACAAAATATCATAAACCTCTATACTGAAATATAATATGAAAATTATGAAGTGTTGAGACATGCTACCTGGATATATCTTTAAAATTATGCTCCATGAAAACAGCCAGTCTTTCTGGGCATCATGGTACACACATGTAATCCCAGTACTCTGGAGGCAGAGGTAGATGGATCTCTGTGAGTTTGAAGCCAGCCTAGTCTACAAAGTGAGTTCCAGAACAGTTAAACCCTTTCTAAAGAAGAAGAAGAAAGAAGGAAGAACAAGAACAGGAAGAAGTCGAAGAAGAAAAAGAAAGAACAAAAACAAGAAGAAAAAGAAAAGTTGAAGAAAAAGAAAAGGAAGAGAAGAGGGAAGACAATGAGGATAAGGAGGATAAGAAGGAGAAGCCCACTGTCCTAAAAGACCATGTACAAAAGTACATATGATTTGATTCTATTTTAAATGAATTGTGTAGAATAGGCAAATCTGTACATGCAGGAAATAAATCATTACTTGCATAAGGCTGGAAATTTACAAGAAGATGGAGTTGTTATTATTGATAGGAATTTTAAAATTGAGTGTAGTGATAATTTCAGTATATATATACTGCAATTCCTTGAATTTTTAAAAAAGTATTTGTATAGAATACTCATCAGAAGCAGAAAACTAAATAAGTAACTCAGGTAAAAAAAAAGAACTATGGAGAAAACAAATCAGACTGTGGTTTTGATATGGTCTGAATCCTGACGTTTCATGTGCTAAAACTTAATCCCTAATGTGAGTATTAAGAGCATGCTCACTCATATAGACATATAATATAGGATAAGCCTACTAAAATCTGTATAACTAAAGAAACTAATCAAGAGGGAGGACTCTTGCTAAAATGCTCAATTCCTATCCAGAAAGGCAAAGAGGATGGACATCAGAAGAAGGAGAAAAGAGGGAACAAGTCAGGAGCCTGACACAGAGGACCTCTGAAAGGCTCTGCCCTGCAGACTATCATTGCAGATGCTGAGACTTATGGGCAACCTTTGGGCAGAGTGCAGGGAATCTTAGGAAAGAAGTGGGAAACAATAAGATCTGGAGAGGACAGGAACTCCACAAGGAGAGCAACAGAACCAAAAATCTGAGCACAGGGGTCTTTCCTGAGACTGCTATTTCAACCAAGGACTATGGATGGAGATAACCTAAGACCCCTGCACAGATGTAGCCCATGTCAGTTCAGTATCCAAGTGGGTCTGAAGGGAGCAGCTTTCCAACACCTCAGGACCGAGGGTGAGGCCTGAACCTGCCCCCATGGCTGCTGTAGACCCCACCATGATCTGGGTGCCACATCTTACCCAGCTTTTCAATAAGACAAATTATAACCAGGCAGCGCCCCTCTTCCAGATCAACCGACACAAGGTAACGTCATAGACCGTGGCCTTACTCGTTAAGAAGCAAGGGAAAGACGTTCTTGCTTGAGTTGAAAATCCAGTTGATTGAAGTCTTAGCGATAGAAATAAATCACTCTGGCTTTTAGAAATACACATAAGTTATATCAAGCATTCTAATGTCATAAAATTTAAAGGCTGGGATGAAGAAGGGATGAATGCCTGCCATCTCCTTCCATCCAAGGACAAGTACTTAGTAACCTACTTACTACAGAACCTCACTGAAAAACACATAATTACCAAGAGCACCCAGCCTTTAAAATCATCGAAAATAGAAAAGAATCTATGTATAATAAAAAAGGAAAAAAGGAAGAAGAAGAAGAAGAAAAAAAAAAAAAGAAAATTGCTGTTAAGGATCTTTTCCAATCTGACATCTTTTTTGACTTGTACCCAGTTCCCAGTGACCTGGTGACTTGATTTAATAACAATTACCTGTACCTGCAGACAGATTTTGGCCCCAAGGTGTTACAAGCCATAAATTTCAATAAATTCACTTACAAATCTCATAAGAGAAAATACTTTATTTTTTATCTCATGTGAAAATACTTTATTTTTTTTTATTATAGATAACTGAAAAAAAAAAAGCTATGGGTGAGGGTTGTGAAATATTTGTGAAATATTCTGTTGGTAAAATCTGAATGTTGTTTGACAAAGTGACCATAAAATACTCTGGAGAATAAAAGCAAGGTTTCTGCTTCCTCATTCTAGGCTATTTTTGACCGGAACCGGAAAGACGAACTGCCTCGGTTGCAATTAGAGTGGATTGATAACATCTGTATGCCTTTGTATCAGGTACTGCTGGCTTGTGTCTGTGTTTCCTGCCTGAGGTGAAGGAGAACATGGGTAAGGTTTGTTCAGAAATGTGAAGGTGGAGACATTCGCAGGCTATGAACTGTAAACTTGCTTCTAATTTCTAACTCAAGAGCTAGTGTTTCAAAGATAGGTACCTCAGTTCTCTACCGATTTCTAAAATGTAATCTACATGCCCTTACCTTCCTTGTCTGTAAGCCAAAGATGATAATATATTGTCTCTTCATTCCTCAAATGTTGTCCCATGAAATGCAAGGATGCAGTCATAGTCAAAACCATCTCTTCAAAAAAACAGTTCAAAGGCCCAGTATCAAAGGCTTGGAGAAGTCTAGTAAGAAAGAAATATAATTAGCCTTGATTAACTCTGAATTTCTTAAATGGAAATCTTTTTCTGCTTTTAAGTTTTATTAATATTATGTGAAACACCGGAGTTTCATCAAACACGCCTTTCTGCTCTGACCCCAGGGTCTGGACTACTGGGCTTTGTGGGGGAAGCATCTTCCATCTTCAAAATCTGCCTCCTTCTTTAAGCAAACATAACGGTGCCAAGCAGTGAATCCTGAACGAGCCTACTAATGAGTTCTTGCTTCGCTGCCTGGTGCGGAACCCGCCCGGGGCAAGGAGACACGTGTCAGCTTTGAATAGTTCACGTACCACTTTCTGAGTTTAGATCAGGGCTGGCATCCGTTTGCACTAACAGTTTAGTGTATGCCGGCTTTTAATTCTACTGCTAAGCATTTGCTTTCATCTGTAAACCCCAGTGAGTTCTTTACCCCCGACCTAGCTCAATCAGCCTGAGCCACGTTCCTAACTTCAAAGTGAGATGCACACAGGGAAAGCAAACCCTCTTTAGTTTCTCATTCTCTGCCACTCCATTAAGAACGCAGGATTGGTTTTTAAAGACCTCACAACCATTAAGCCTCAAACTTCGCCACCACTTCATTTTCAGTACCGTTAGGAACTACCGAGACCTGTCACAGTCTCCTGAAAACAAACAAATTAGAATATCGTCTTCAAGACAGAAATGTAATTTTAATAACCACAAATGATAAACGTAAATTCACTCGTTTCGTATAATCCATTAAATGTCCAATATTATAAAAAACAGTCAGATAGTTTTAAAATAATCTAAAATCAATTGTTATGGTTACAAATGGCTATAATATTCTATCATCTAATAATGAAAGATTGGACAAGAAACATTGAGAACAACGTAGTTTATTATGAAAGGGATCCTAACTCTCTTTTCTTCCTGTCTGCTCCCACGTAGAGCCCCGGGGTGGGGGTGGGGGGCTGGGAGAGGTGCCTTTGGCTTTGCTGAGCTGCCCTTGGTTTAACATCACTCAGGTATTAATGGGGTGGGTAAGTTAATCTTCAACTTAACACATTTTCCTTACGGGAAGTAAAACTCAAACTCCAGTTGCTGCTAAGGGTGTGCATGTGGCTCCCACCCAGAGTCTGTTTCATTGCCGACCCACGGCTCTTGGAGCTTAGCGCGTCCTCGCTACTGAGCACTCTGAAATCTTCAGGTTAAAAGGGAAGTTCCTTGAAATTCAACGGAAAAGGTTAAATTGAAGATTCAGGGCATGAGCAGCTCCACAGCACGTGCTGTAGCGTCTCGTTTCGTTGTTGTTTTGTTCTTTTATGTGTTCCTTGCTCGTCTTTGAGGTTAGAGACACCTGATCTTTTCACCTGCGGGAAATGGAGCGCACGGGTCAGGTGACCTGCACGTTTAGTTTGTGCCTCCCAAGCTGCATGAGTCCGCTTCTATGAAAGCTTCTGTGTTTTCACTCTCTCGAAAGCCATGTGCCACCCTGAAGGAGAAAGCTGCTCAGAAACCCGAGGCTCGCAGTTCGCTGCTGTCCTCTCAGGCAACAGGCCGTGAAAAGCTTGCTCTTTGGGGCTCCTCGTCACCACTATTTTTTTTTTTATTTTACAATTTCAGTTGTAAATTCTTTATAAGGCTTTGAAACCAACTGTTCAAAGAGCCATCAAGCTGAAAGTACAGTTAGCATGGAAAGCACATCGTGGTCTCCAGTATGTACTGTAGTATGTGATGGCGACTCCCTGCACCGGCCGGGTCAGTGGACAGGACAATCCCCCACTGACTGATGGTGCTCTGCAAATGAAAATCGGGCATTGGGCAGCAATTGCAGCTGCTGGAAAGACACCAATCTTGAGGAAAGTCACTGGCCCCATAAGGCACAGTGTTTGGGACAGGTGGTTACTGCAGAGGCCATTTGGGTTTTGAACGTCAAAATGCAATAGTGAGGTTCTGAGAGGATGGATGGCAAGTGTGGTGATACGGGCGGGCGGCAGAAATCCCTACTGTGCGCAGGCCAGAGTGACCCAGGCTGAAATACAAAGCGGAAGAATCCAGTTTGCTCTTGCTAAGATGACTCGGAGACATGGCAAAAGGGCGAAGAGCAGCACTCACGAGTCATAAAGTACACAGCCCCTGTAATGGCGAAATCACGGGCTCCGGTGGCTAGAAATCAGGTAGAGCCCCAGCGGAGAGACTGAGGCGGACAGGGCTGGGATAGTCCTTTGGCTGGAGCTTGGAGTGCGGAGTTATGGATGGAGGTCGGACAGGCTGCAGCTGTCCTGTATGGGGGCGGGGACAGCGGGGGGAGGTAGAGGGGGAGGCTGGCCGTGATGCGCGGCAGGAGGTGTAAGTTTGATTTCAGTGAAGCCCTTTTGCTCCACTGACTTTCGCTGGGTAACTCAGTTTTACTTGGTGGCTTTAAACGGATTCTTCTTGTGACACATCCTAGCTGATCCGGCTCCTCCTGCTGGGTTCCTGGTGGTTGGATTCAGAGGGGAAAGAGTGCCTGGAGAGAGCGGTCCCTGTATGCCTCGGAGGGAACCCCACCAGCACATTCCAATGCCCTAACTCTTCTCTGTCGGAGAGTGTTAATCCCCAGGCAATGGTGACCATGTAGAGGGAGAACGATGAGGAATTCTCACCCTAAAATCTACTTTTAGGAAGCTACTGAGGTAGTAAATAGTTGGACAAAAGTGCCTGACAGAAAATATATGAAAACACAGGGCTAGCGGTGGACTTAGCGGTGGAGTGGTTGATGGCTATATAATTAAATGCCTATATACGAATAAAGTCCGCGCAGCCCCTGTGCAGCCTGTAAGTGAGCGTGGCTGTTTCTATCTGAAACGAAGATCAAATACTCACGACACTGCTTTAGCTCTTACCGCAGGCCAGGTGAGAGGGCACAGTGGGGACCACCCCCATCTCTCTGGACGGCTAGAGGAGACATGGCATGACTGTCTACATATGTTTTATCCTTTAAAACTTAAGGTTCCAAACTTCTGGAAAGAAGACAAAGGGGAGGGGAGGACGGGACAGCAAACAGGCAGGAGCCATGATTTATCTGTGACAGCATTTTAATCAGGAAGCATACAGGAGGTCCAGAGCAGGAGGGGAGCATTAAAGCGTGTTCCCCAGGAGAAGGCTAAAGCCCTGGTTAGTTAGCTCTGTCCTAGCAGGATGTCTTAGAGGAATACATTGACATCTGATTTCGGAGCTTTCTGCTGTCTTTGCACCCTGCTGGGGAGCCATTAGCCTGCTGCTCAACATCTTTGGAAGAAAAAAAAAAAGTCAGAAAGAAGAAGGGAAAAAAAAGACACTATCAAAGTTTGAAGTCACTGCTGAGGCAGCCTTAGGGATAAACAGAATCCCTCCTGTTGCAGTCTCGTTCTGAGCTGCTGCTGTTCGTGCGAGTGAACCAAGTTTTTGCCCCTTGTTTCTGCTCTCAACTTGAACCTCAGTGTACCTGAGAGCGCCAATGACACGTGAAGGCCTTAACATGATAAGTCTCTCTGTTAAAAATTGAAGGCCTTTTCAAGGTACTCAGATTTTCCGTTCATCCCAAACTGGCTTTTGATTTGGGGGATGAATTTCCTCGTAGACACTGCGAAAGGATTACCCTGGAATTTAATACCCAACACCTTGCTAGCCAGCCCTGGCCATGCACAACTATAATTTTATGATACCATAGCAGGGAGATGAAGACAGGAGGTCCAGAAGCTTAAGGGTAACCCCTGCTACACACTGAGTTAGAGGCCAGCTGGGGCTGTGTGAGTCCTTGTCTCAAAAAAAAAAAAAAAAAAGCAAACCTGATAAGACTTCTGATGTTAAGTCAGAATAAACTTGGATTTCTTTTGTTATTTATTTATTTATTTAAACTTTGGTTGTAATGATCATGCTGTAACATACAGTCCACCTGGCACAGCTATTAATGTGCTCACCTGGAAAAATGAGGGGGAAAATCCTCAAAATATATTTGAGGAGTGGAGAGCGGGATCAGCAGTTAAGAGCAGCTTTCTGCCCTTTTAGAGGACCTGCGTTCAATTCCCAGGACCCATGTCGTGGTTCACAACCGTCTATAACTGGGGGACCAAACACTCTCTTCTGACCTTCAAGAGAACCAGGCACTCAAGTGGCACATACAGACATGCCAGCCTAGCCGTTGTCCTAGCTAGGGTTTCTGTTGCCATGATAAAACACCAATAGCAAAGCACCATGGGGAGGAAAGGGTGTTTCAGCTTCTAGTTCACATCCCAGCCATCACTGAGGGAAGTCAGGACAGGAACTCAAGGAAGACAGGAACTGGGAGGCAGGAATTGAAGCAGAGGTCGTGGGGGAGCACTAGCTAGCTCAGTCTGCTTTCTTATAGCACCCAGGACCACCAGCCCAGGGATGGCTCTACCCACCGTGAGCTGGACTCTTCCCCGTCACCATCAATCAAGAAAAGGCACCATAGTCTTGCCCACTGGCCAATGTGGTCGGGGCATTTTTATCAGCTGAGAGTCCCTCTTCCCGAATGGCACTAGTGTGTGTGAAGACGGCATAAAACTAGCCAGCACGCCCATACACATAAAATAAGAAAATTTAAATAATAAAATACAGTGTGATATGCTTGAAATTGTGGAGGCTGCAAGTTAGAAACCAATAAACTCGAAAAGAG